CCCCCCCCACTTCCAAATCATTTTACACCTAGAATCGTCAATAATACCACAATTTGGGCAAAAATCAATGTGACAAAACTGACAGAAAAGCACAGGTGCCCGGGTTCTTGAATATTAATTAGAATCTACATCTATTCTAGAACCGGAGCACCTTTGGCCGAAACGGGGCGAAAGTGAAACTGACTGATCAGATCTGAGGAAAATGGACAACCAATCATTATTGACCATCAAGCATACTCTAAATTTCACATCAGATAGTTTCATTTACAGATATCATATATACATTATATATAAATTACTTTAACACGGCCTTTTAAACGAAAACATGCACGTGAACTCACACTTTGCAAAACTGAGTAAAAATATCAACTCAAAAATATTGTTTGTTCCGCCAATTGCAGGTACGCAGACAATATTATTTCAATTTTTAATTAAACAAGAAGAATTAGATATATTATGCATATCAATAACTTTATGTCAAACATAATGTCAAACATCTACTCCAACCTTTTATTTATTTAATGAAGTAAAGAGAATGTCTACATATAATTTATTCAGTGCGGGATTTGTGTACCCAATATGGCGGGTTTCCTGTCGAGGTGCTTGGAAAAAGTCAAATCCTGGATCCATTGGTCTTGGACCTATCTTTGGGCTGTTTGGTTCATGCTGGTGATCTTCGTGGTATATATTCTTCGAGGCCCATTGAAGCTGAGCGAGAACTTCTCTTACGGTAAGGAATGCGATGCATTTTTAAGCCGAATGTATGGTCATGTTACACGTTACGTATTCTCATCTGATTCCTTAGCTACAGCATCTGTGTATTGAGCTGTTGCATCCATACATTTATTTTAGTGTTTGCATCATATGTATGTTATATGGTTGTCGTATCATTATTCCATGGATGCCATTGGAGTCGAAGAAGTTTGCACAAATCATGTTCGTGGTGCATGAGCAATTTTAGAAAATAAAGCATCAATATTGCAAATTAATCATGGATACAAACGGAGGAATCAAATGCACTTATTCAGGTTATTAAATTTTCATATCTTTCAGCAAAATAATGCTTAGGGATTTGCACTGTGATTTCAAATTCATGCTACAAATATCATGTAAACTTCGCAAGGAGATTCACTATATGTGAATGTGGTTTACATTGTACATTGTAAATTTAGGGTATATATAAAATTAAATATTTGTGTACATATATACTTGTATATAAGTTTCCTCTGGCCCTAACACCAGGCTTAAACATTTTGACATATAGATGTCTGGTGTGGGACCAGAGTGCATTTTGCTTTTTGAAAACGTGGAATATGGAATTGAAGTTTCTCTGAAAAATATTATTGTAAAAACAACATTGTAATATCACCAACAGCACCTGGTCTAGCTGCTAGTCCGAATTAATCGTCACTTTCACACACTTGTCGCACATGGATCGAAAGATCTATTCTTTATGTACAAGGGGAACATACATAACAAATTAACATGCCTCAAACAACCAATACAATCACTAAAAACGTTTTTTCAAACTTACTCTGTTTTACACTTGTTTTTTGATAGCCCCGCCTTCTAATGCCACGTGACTAAAATCTTGCAGGCCTATGTCATAACGTTGGGAAAAACCTTCGGCAACGCGAGATCTCGTCAAGTCATGTGACATTGCACATGGCCTAATTTCCATTAAAAACATGGGTTGGTATAGAAAACGTTGGAAAATACTTTTCGTAATGATCTTTGAAACATGTTATTGATACCACCTAGTGCATAAAGAATAGATCTTTCGATCCATGTGTGTGAAAGTGACGATTTGTTTCTAAAATATCAGTTTGAAGTGCGCTCCGGGCGCGGGTCGCATATTTCACGCATATTATAGAAGACCGGAGTTCTGACGTTAATCGATGACAGACCGATATGAAAAAAGTCAATAAAACGTCAGAATAATTCGGACTACTGCTCTGCCTATACCAGGTGTCAACAGATCTCCTCTCACTCTAAGTGTCAACACCTTATTAACGATATGGCTAAGTGTGATCTATTTCTTCAGCATATCACCTGAGGCTGAGTGAATGTGTTTATTTAGTTTTCCTTCATTAGTGACTTACCTGGTTGCATATAGCTGCGATAACGTAGCTTTCTGACGACGAGATTTTTTTTTTATATTGCGTCGTCAGAGCTACGAAGCGGTCCTATGCCAACTAATGGAGCAAAATCAAAAGTGCTTATCTGTAAGATTGCATATAATTCATGCCTCATATGAGTATAATGTTATCAAAATATTGCATAATTTTTGAAAAATCGAATCCTTACCAATGCAAAAACTCTTTTACGAAATTAACCAAGTCCATCTCTGGGGAAAAAAAGAAAAGACCGCCATGACAGATCACGCGTGATGTTATCTCAATTATCATTTCTATATATGGCCTGCGTGGCCAAATATAGTATTACTACTGATGCCGCCATGTTTACAACAATTTCCATATTGGGTCGTGATCGCCACCCATATTTGGACGTCTGACCTATATCGGAAGAGAGACGAACTTTCCAACATGGCGGTCAATTCAGATTTCGATTACGCTTGCTACGTTAACTTGATAATTTAACGACATTTTCGGCAGAGTTTAACTTCATGTTGTGCAGGATATCAACAGAAATAGTTCATACTACAACCCTATTTATGGATGCGGACCAATGTGCTATCAATTAATTCAAAAGTCGCCCCGGTGTGATTCACACCGAGCTTGCTCCATTACAAGGCATGGGATCGATTTATTACCCGGCCGGTGCAGAGGAGGCAGGGTATTAATATTAGTACTAGATCAGACCAGCTTTAAAAAAAAAAAGACATTTTTCCAGGAAAAACATCTGAAACTGAATGGGGGGGTAGGGGGGAACTGTCCTTTCCATAAGTATAAACAGTTAAAACATTATTTAATGCATGCTTTAGTTGTAATTTAGTGAAAATAGTGGTTTTCAGTGAAGACAACATTTAAGTTTTAATTGTCAAATAAATACGAAAATAAAACTAATAACCATGTTCAAAATGACGGACAGACCAAGCGACTTCAGTGATGAGAATTTGTGTGCGGATACCCAGTGCAGGGAAAGTCATGAGTATAGAAATATTTCGCATTTAGGTAGAAGGAAGGAAAAACACAAATATAATTGTAACAACGGAACAAATCGTAGTCAACTAATTTTGTATCCTGATTCCCATCACTAGCAATAACACTAATTTCGCATAATGGACATGAATCTGTATGTATAAATTAAGGAGAGACCTATCATTTACATTATAAATGACTTACTTTAATACCCTAATCCGCTTCACTTTTGATATCAAATCTGCTGTTTATAAACCCTTCCACTGACCAATGAAATAAAACAACCCTTATATATACCTGTGCACCACCTAGTGTGTCATATAACATGGGAGTTTCCCGAAACAAATCGTAATTTGATCTTAATCGACTCTGCCAAAATGTATTTTTTAAGGTGAAACAACATAGCACGCAATGACCCAGGGAAAATGGGATTTCAATAGGGGAAATGACCAACCCTATTGAACCCCTGAAGACACATTTGAACTGTTCCAATTCAAAGGTTGGAATAGTTCATTATGATATTTCAGGGGTGAATGAGTTAAAAGTGTTCTAAGGCTGTTAAAAAAAATCAATCAAACAACTCACTTTTTACAAAGTTTGAAACACCTTGAACTTAATATTCCATGAGCTAAAGTATTACCGTATTTGACCGCAATTAGGCCCCTTTCCCACTTTGACCTGGGAACAGGGTGGTTGCCTGCAATTAAGCCCCCTCCCTAATTTTGTCTCCCTCTAAAAAACTTTTTCTGAATTATATAATTATGTTTCTGAATTAGGCACAATAGAAAATAATTAGAATTATAGCTGCTTCAAAATATTTATTTTTTTCTAAAAGTGCCAGTCTTGTATTTATAAGTAAAATGAATTTATTAAAATATATCTACTAATAATCTTTCATAAGATAATAGTTTTGCAGAATTACTTACATGGCATCAAGTTGAAAGTTGTTTCCCAAAATTTTGATGTTAGGTCAGACAGAGTTACTTGCCCTTGTTTAGCATTGCTACAATTTCTAATGATGTACTTATCAGTTAGGCAATGTGTTGGCTGTTAATGAACATTTTGTTCCACACAAATTTTTCTGAATATGTCGGAAGTTGTTAAAAATTGCCTCAACTGGTGCGTATATACAAGTCAGATTGCATTTTGGCTGAGGACATACCAGAAGTTAAAGAAGTTTTTTCCCCACTCCATCACAAAACCTATCAATCTCAGTCCAAATTTTAGAGGAACTATTAAAAATGTCAAAATATACAGATATTGATTTTATGTATGTGGAGCACTACAGTCTAGTTGAGACAATTAATCAGTTGCTCATAGTTTTGGAAATGTTGTCAGCTAAGTTACCATAATTATTAATGGGTATGTTTTGTCTATCAAACAAACTATTCTCATGATTTTCTTATTCAAGGTGGGCACTCATATATTTGGATGTAGGGACTTTATTTAGCCTTTGTTTTACATTTCCACTTGTGAATTGGAAAAATATCATTACAACAAACAACCATTCATTTATTTTTTACGCCGAGTCCAATTTTCACGTTTACAAGAAAAAGACAAAAAATAACTATTTTCATCTACATTTCCTTCACTAAATGTCTTATATGCCTAACGTGGTGATTTCTTACGTTACTATATTTTATAATGTTAAATGGAAAAAAAATAGAAAATACTTCAAGTTAAAAAGAAGAACTTGACAAATATTTGGACTTGGTGAGAAATTCCATTGTTTTTGCCCCCAAAATATGAACCCATCAATGAAGTGTCACAGACTTATTGTACGGATAGATATTTCAAACATAAAAAAATGCTAAAATATTGGTACATGGACATATTCAGGTAAGGGGAATAACTCTTTTGCACTCAGTAAAAGTACAGTACCAGTAGCTATATCAAGTATGTAAGTGACAACTTGTATGGCGATGCATGAATCTAACATAATGAAAGATCTATTGTAAGATATATATTTATCAGTTAATTTAATTTAACATTCATTTTAACTTCATTATCATGCCAATACATGTATTAGTTGATAATATTATTTTGATATATTCTTTTAGACTTTGAATTATTGAAGGTAAACATCTTTCACTTCTAATCATTGACAAGTGATATAAAAGATAAAAAAAAAATACAAACAAATTTTTGTAACTGTTACATTTTCAAACTAGTTCTAAAATAACTAATTTTTCTAGGGTTCTCAGGGTCTATTAATTCAAAATAACCCCTTTCCTAATAGGAAATAAAAAAATAAAAAAATCCCAAATTTGAATGTTTTATACCCCCTCACCTCTCCTCTCTAAGA